AAGTCATGTAAATACTAACTCTTAACTCGTATGTTTATAGTACTCACGTGAGGAAGGAATATAGAATAATTGTCAAAAGTATCCCAATAATGGAGAGGCTTAGTCCCACGTAGGTAATAATTTCCAGAATAGTTTCATCCTCCTCGGTGAGCTGCGTCATAAAGGTGATAAAGAGCAACTAATGATCTGCCTATTAACCTAACGCAGTTGTATTTTAAAACAATGCTTGAGTTGAAGTAAAAAACAGTTCATTACCTTTAGATCACTGTTGTAGTCCACTAACACAGCAAAGTGTGTCAAATGATTGCAGCTACAAATTGTTTCTTCTGAGTTTCTTTCCGATGTAACAAGATGACATCCCTCTTCTGAAAATCCGTCTGACGCAGACCTGAAAGTGGAGAAATGACATATTCGGTAGGAATTATTTAGAAAAAAAGATATCGAGTAAATGACTTTATCTTCCGCCTACAAAGTATCTTATCCAGTTGCGCATAGATTTGAGTTTTTCTTTTTTCAGACCGGGCGATGGGGCTGGGTGCAGTTTCGAAATGAACGCAAACACGACAATTACGTCCTATTTTACGTGATAGAGAAAAATGAAAGAAAATATTGCATTAGAATGTAAGCGACGGAAAAACGTGAAACAAACGCACAAAGGGAAGATATCATAACAGGGAACAGATTATTATAGTGAATATTACTACTCTATCAGCAACATCTCTTAAAGAACGGTATCATAATTCACCTTCGGTAATATCCAACTCCAAAATATATGAATATCAACTCCATTTAGTTTGAGATCGAGAAGCGGTTACTTAAAGATTAGAACTAAAAGAGAAACATGTTCCAGATTTTCACCTTTCTCTGAAGCCACTCCAAAACGCGCACACCTTTCTTCCTTCCACTTCCTGAAAAAAATATCTGATTTCTATGTAAACATTCAACGCAAAGAAGGCCAGGTGAAAGCAATTTATTCCTGCTGTTACCTCTACGTTTCTGAATTTCAAGATTACATTTTCTCGCATATCTGGTTTTGGATCCATAGCGACGGCCATTATTCTGGAGCCTACATCCCTGGGAAGAAAATTGTATTTGAAAGTGACTTAGTTTGAGGTAAGGTAGCAACTTTGACAAAACAAATAGGCGCTTCAGTTAACTTTACTTCTACAAAGCTGGAGAATTCATAAGGTCAAACCCAGATTACTTGTCGAGGCTCTCGCAACGGTGTTGTGACATCGACTTGGTTAAGCGTGAAACTTGTTTTGTGTATTGATAGGTAATAAAAACCGAAAACCAGTAGTTACATAACCTTGTGATGCCTGTTCTTTCCTTTATGGGATGTTTCAACTGTAGTAACTGATGAAGATCCTTGTACATGAACCCAACAACCACTTTCCCTTAAAGGAGAGAAAACAAAACAAAAACTGCGAAAATCGAAACACATTAATTGTGTAATTTATTTTTTATAGGGAAAATATCACCACAAGAGGAACAGAGCAAGAGGACAAAAGACTATAACAAATCTGAAATTTTAAATGCATGGCTGTCAATACAAACCATAATCCGCAAAATTTGCAGAGGAAATATTGATGCTCTGTTTCCATTCTTCTTTCTGTAGATTGAATCCACTTGCGTTTTGGCGGGAGGCTTTTGTGATCATCAATACTGAGGGAAAAGAACAACAAATAATGGCAAACAAAATTACTAATCTCGGGATGAAATTGAAATGAACCATTAAATGAGCAAGAACGTTTCGTAGCAGACTTTTATTGTCTTTCGTTGCATCTTAACTCCTTGCTAGAAGATTACGACGGCGCTTTTCTTTACAACGTCTTCAAAAACACTCAGCCCTCTAAACAACTAGCAAAGTTTTGAGCAACAAAAATTACTTCGTCATATTTCATAATCTATTTTTCAACTGTTTATACACTTGATTTATTTTGGTAAATATCCTTCTCTCTCCCATTATGACAGAAAGAAGCAACATATCAAAGTAAGAACTTTTTGGTCTGATTTGATCCGACAATGATGTTTCTCAGTTGCCAGTTGCTATTGGTAATAACTCGAGCTCGTGTAAGTGATGGTCAGTTCATTCCAAAAAAATTCCCTTGCAGTCATTACTGTACTGTGTTGTTTAACTTAAAAGGTTTATTTTAAGTCAGACTACTCTAACAAGGAAATATGGTCTCGGAAAATCAAATCGATTAAACTTTCCAAGTTTAAGAACGATCTTCGTGATTCAGAATTGTTACTAAACACTCCCAATCTTCTTACTGATCTTATTGACTGTTTTAGCACTGCTTCAAAA